TATGTATGTATGTATGCATATTTCTAATTGTGTCCTTGTGTGTGTCATGCTCCCTCTATCCCTGTACATGCACCAAAGTGCACATGGTGCGATGTGCAAGCGCACTGTATCATGATGCAAGTTGTACCTCGAGAACTGGATGCCTCAGGCGTGACTTGCCTCGCCTGTGACGATTCTCTTGGCGACATCGATGCAGAGGACGTGTGGCATTCAGATATGGCCGAAGTCGTTAGCAGCAAGGTTCTGCCCAATACTGTTGCGGGAAGTGTCGTTTATGTGATCAATGACCACGTCCATGAACTGAACTCCAGAGTCAGGATGGCAAATGGAAATCTGCCCTGAAGCATCTTACACCTGCCTTCCTGTACACAAATCTGAATGCTGTGATCTGTGCGAAGGAATTTCCCTTGAGGAAAGCTTGGAGTGGCAGCAATGATTTCACCCTTCGCCTCTTGTCGGCCCTCTTTTCAAAGCCAGACAGAAGCTGATGCTGCTGCTCTGCACGTTGCTGTGGTTCTACTCATGATCACCCCATTCCCGCATATGACCCGCCTCGTTTTTGTTGTCACGTACTGATGTGTCTACAGTCTTCATTTCACTGTTGAAATAGAGTGGGGAAAGAAATATCCGAGACACTCCTTCGTTTGGAGAGTCCATCGTCAATGAGGAATCTGGTACTGCACTAGACTCAACCCGTTTACCTCAGACGAGTCCTGGAAACATATGCCTGGGGCTAAAAGCCCAAAAAGTTGTGCATTGAGATCTACATAAATCTACCAAGGTGAGTGGATCATCCACACATGGCGCTCAAAGAAGGCCGTCCCAGCTGCGGCGTCTCGTCACTTTCAAGCTTTGTCGGCAAGGGCTCACTAGGATTCGGGGCCAGTTTGATCCATTGGGCCTTGAATCAGAAACTGCGCATCAGAAGCCGCCGCGCATCAAACTGCGCAGCAGAAACCGCCGCGTATCAAAGGCTGCTCATCAGCAACCAGCGCGCATCAGAAACTGCGCATCAGCAACCAGCGCGCATCAGAAACCGGTGCATCAGCAACCAGTGCGCATCAGAAACCGGCGCATCAGAAAAAGCGCGTATCAGAAACCGGAGTTTGGAAACTGGCGCGCGGCCATGGGGGTGAGGGTGGTCCGTGGTCTAATGCATTCTGAATACAAAGCAGCCAGGGCTCAACAGAGCTTCCCTTGAAACCATGACATGATACCATGGTCTGATGTGTGAAAGTTGCTGTGTGACCTGTAAGCTTGTGAAGCCTTTTCATGACATGCTGGTAGAAAGAAGTGTACAGTCATGATCCGCAGCGTGCGGCTCTCGGAAGCACAGCAGGAAAAGGCCTCGGCGCAGCTTTCGGCATGCATTAGACGGCTATATGTAGTGAGCGTTTCGCATTGGTGCCGTCAAATGAGCAAGCGACAGCAGCGAGCACACCCGCCGATGGTGTAAACCAGCCGGATGGCTCCGATGCTTGGCAAGGCCATGCAGGAATGGGCTTGGCAAGGTTGGCAGTGGAGTGCTTCGTCTATGGGAACTCAGCAGTACTCTTGGCCAGGCAGTTTTTGGGCTAGTGGAGGGTGGCCTCACGGTGGCCGATGGTGATCAAGCGCATGGGAGAGACCAGCGTCGGCAGGTTGGAGTAGGGACAACCAGGTTGATCAGTGGTCCGGACTGGCCTCGAAGCGACTATGAACCAGGACCCCGTGGGAACTCTGTACAATCGGCGGGGTAGAGCGGCTCCTCAAGCATCTCTGGCAAAAACTGGAACCATTGGAATGTGCTCGGACCTTTACTACCTTGACGGAGTTCTACCAGGGGTTCAAGAGGACACCAGGCATGGAGTATTCAACATACGACGTGGAGTTCAGGGAGCACCTCACGAGATCGGAGGAGGTAGGAGCTCTGGTTGAAAGTTTGATTCAGGCTTACTGGTTCATAGAGAAAGCGAGCCTGTCGGCTGATCTTCGCAAACAAGTCGTGGCCGCAGCCGGCGGTGAGTATGACTACGTCAAGCTCAGAATGGCACTCCTCGCCGTAGTCCCAAAGTCAACAAAGAAGAAGAAGGCAATGGATCCTCCTCAAGGCCGGCAACCTTCGGCAATCGTCGCTGGAAAGCCCGGAGCAACAATCAACCTCGCCAGGTACACGCTGCCACCGATGAAGGCGTGGATGACACGGAGAAGGACTCGGTGGAAGAGGCCGAGGATGATGCTGTTAACTTTGAAGGTGAACTTGAAGTGCTTCTCACACAGGCAGCGAGGAATCCAGGACATGAAAGCTCGCATGCCATGCTCAGCTCGCAAGGCTCATTGTAACACGGTGTATGGACACTGGAACGGTGATGCAGTTTGCCCTTATCATCGGCAGAACAAACACAAGGACAAGAATGTCTTGGCCATCGTAGAAGAAGAGCTCTCCGACTCAGACTCCGATCAGCACGAGATCTTCGGCCCGCAGCCCGGCGACATTTAAAAGGCCGAGTACTTCAGCCACGGTGACGAGGTTAAGACTAACTTGAAGAGGTGTGGGTTGGTGACACACGAGACTACCAGGTTCACCCTGGCCCTTAGCGCCAGGACGGTAGCCGGAGAAAGATGGATTCAGCGACACGTGAGACAATTGCGCAAACTTGGCGAGGACACTTTCGTGATTGATGAAGCTTCGTTTCGGAGCGGGGTCCAGGGTGATGTCATCTTACGGCGTTTTACGGTGTGATCATTCCTGTCAGTGTTTGCGGCGCCGGCAAACGGGGACACTTGCGCATCAGCCTGGTCAAACAGGATGTGCCCTTGCTAATCAGCAAGACCGCCTTGAAGAAGCTCAGGGTGGTTCTCTACTTGGCTGGGGGCAGGGTTCGGTTTTGTCATCTTGCAGACTGATGTATCGCTCAGGGAGACGAGTACGGGATTGTGTGGCTTCAACAACAACCTCGAATCCTCAAGGAGAAGATGTGTGTGTGTGTGTGGTCAGTGAGAGTGAGGTAGCTTATCTCCGAGTTTAACCGCCTTGAACAGGAGAATGCCTTGATGACCCGACTCCAGGAGAACGTCGAGGCAGAGGCCCAGCACGAGCGTCGGAGGGCGACGGCGAAGGTAGTTAGGGAGTGTGAGACACTAGTTGCCAGACGACTCATTCTCCGCGATGACTTCTCCTACGAAGCGCTGCTCGTTCTGGTCACTCGACTTCCTCACGTACGTAACGCGAGGATATCTTGCAATCAGGGACGGAGCGTATAATTCGTGTATTCGCAGAGGGGAGTTCGTGTTGGCTTGGTGCGAATAGGAGGAGCTACGCAAGACAAAGGTCGCGACAACCACAACCTGATAGACTGGAAGTCACCTACGAATCGTAGTGTGGTTGAGTCTTCGTTCGCCGCCGAGACTCATGGGGCTCTTATAGCATGTGTCTCGTTTCGCACAAGTGCTTCTCTCGGCTGTCGAAGATGATGGTTGGCAAGATTTGTGTCCTGTTATTCTGGTCACGGACTGTAACAGTATACTTGACACCGTGCATAAAGATGGGCAAACACGTCGGTGAGAAAGGGAGCAATGTGCACGCTGTTCTTCTGCGTCAGCTTGACCACTCGTGGTGAGGAGGGAAGGCTGGATTATTGCGGGTCCCTACTATAGTTACTAGGTGAAGGGCGGTAAGGGCTAGGGGTTCCGAAATCGGGATCGACTTCAAGGAGGCCTCCTTTCCCATGAGAAGGCGATTAAGACATGAAAGAGTTCCGTCGTCCAGGCTACAGGCCGGAAAGATAGTAGTACCAGTGTGAAAGCTGCTGTGTGAGCCTGGCCTGTAAGCTTGTGAAGCCTTTTCATGTCATGCTGGTAGAGAGAAGTGTACAGTCATGATCCGCAGCGTGCGGCTCTCGGAAGCACGGCCGGAAAAGGCCTTGGCGCAGCTTTCGGCATGCTTTAGACGGTTGTCTGAAGTGAGCGTTTCAGCGTTTCACATTCGCATGATGCGTTGTTACGCCAAGAGAGGGGTTGGGGGGCACGGTAATTGAACGTCCACGGTTTACTGCGTTCTGACAAGAGAGCATCCATGGCCCATGGCCCAACCATGATAACGCTCATGGTCTAATGCGTTCTGTGCACGAAGCAAACAGTGCCCAACCATGATCACATCCATGGTCTGTTGCAGTCTGACAATTTAGCATCCATGGCCCAACCATGGTAGCGTCCCTGTTCTTATGCCTTCTGAGCACAGAGCATCCACGGCCCCACCATGATGACCTCCATGGTCTAATTAATGCGTTCTGAGCCCAATGGCCCAACCATGATACTGCTCATGGTCTAATGCGTTCAGAGCCCATAGCATCCACAGGGGGACATGATATCGTCCTTGGTCTAGTGCGTTCTGAGCATAAAGCATCCTCGGCCCAACCTTGATAACGTCCAGGTCTTTATGCGTTCTGAGCATAAGGCATCCACGGCCTAATCATGACGACGTCCATGGTCTAATGCCTTCCGAGCCCAGAGCATCCATGGCCCAACCATGATCATGTCCATGCTCTAATGCGCTCGGAGCCTATAGCATCCAAGGGGGAGGGGCATGATAAACGATCTTATGCGTTCTGAGCATAGAGCATCCTTGGCCCAACCATGATAACGTCCATGGTCTAATGCATTCGGTCCCTTGGGTCCGCAATGTTCCTTCCAACCGTTCCCGAGTCACGACTTCTCGTTTCCGAAGAATGCGTCTGGTTTCAGATTCAGCCCTTCTGGTTTCCGAATCAGTCGTTGTGGTTTACGAATCATGGTGTGGTTTCCGAATCAGTCGGTCTTGTTTCTGCATCAGCCGTCTCGGTTTCTGATTCAGCCGTTCTGGTTTCCGAATCATGGCTGGTTTCTGAATCATGGTTGGTTTCTGATTCAGCCGTTCTGGTTACTGCGTCAGTCGTTCTGTTTACCGACTTTTCTGCCGACCGGGACCGTTTGGCGCATCCGGCATGGCATGCCGGTGTGAGAGCTCGGGAACACGATTTCGCTCAGCTCGTGTTGAACAGTTGCTGGGATGAAGCCTTCACACGAGTTCTGAGTTCCGTTTTTTTTTGCGACCTGAAAGATTCGGCAGACTGCAGGAGGGTACAAGCGATTCAGGGTTTCTGGGATAGCCGGCACTACAGAGACTGGAGCCGTGGCGTGGTGAAGAAGTGTGTCATCTTTGGGAGTTTTCGGCCTGATTCAAAGCCAATTGTTTTGCCAGGGACATTTCCACCAGTGTCTGCAAAAAGATGAACGGCTTCAGGGCCTATGGCTTTCTGCAACCATGGCTGCCCAAGTCCAAAGGCGGTAAATCTGAGACACGCAGCGAAGCTCAAATCCAAGCGTCTCAATCGATATTCCGTCTACGAATTTTAGCACCCAGTCCTTGCGAGTCGAGGTGAAAGAGGACAAGGAGGCGGTGGTGGTAGAGACTTGGCCTCGGGGTACCACGAAAAGGTCAAAACCCAAGATGATCGCTGTGCCGAGCTACAGATGCCGAGGAATATGAGTGCGGGCTATGCAGTTGAATCTGATATGCTGTGCCAAAGTACGTTTCCATCTTATACACTGAAGTATGAGGGTTGGTTCTTCTGCACTGGTGTGTGCTACCTCACTTGGCCGGAAGCGGCAAACTCTGAAGCCCCGAGTTCCCAGGAGATGGGCCGATGGAAGGTCGGGATGCTCAAAGGCCGAGGATAGGAAAGTTTCGGATTCCGGAAGTTTGGTGGCTTCGGGCGGGTTTCGAGCACTTAGAAGCCCAGTAGTCTGAGGGATTGTAGGTCTTAAGTGCTCTATTGTCGGAGGCCTGGAGGTTCAGGCTTGCTGCGGGGTTGCGGTTTTGGGGGTTGAAGGATTCGGTACTTTGTGTCCACTGTGTGTGCGTGTGTGTGTCTGTTGGCATCTAATTAGCACATAAAACTTGGCAGCCAAGAAATTACGATAAATTTAGGCTGTAGTTACGACTGGCCGCTCACTGCTCTGGGGCTTTCATGTGTAGTCCTCACTTCGGCACCGATGAATTTTGCAACTCCTGCTGAGCATCTCTGGTCTCTGGCAATCTGGACCTATATAGGGTGCAGTGTCCTAGGAGACCGGGCCGTGATGCAAGTGAGCAGCGACATCTTGTGTCAGACAAGAATGTCGCCAGTGTTAGTTAATTGCTGCACCTACTACACTGACAACGGCCCAAGAGCTCAGTTATCTGCAACAAAACCTCTATCCAAACCGCCAATACTGGCCTCCAGGCAAGCACATGCACGGGCACAAGAACGGGCTGAAGACTTTGCCACCCGCCTGCTTCGACTAAGGATACAGGATGAAAGTCACTGTTCCAGACACCGCAGCTTGTTTTTGTTTGTAAAGTCGGTGTCTTGAACATGCTCATGTGGTGTAGTATTGGAGCCCATACAGTCATCATCAAAAGCTTGAAGGTACTCTTCTAAATAATGTCGTTTCAAGCTGGAAGTTGATGTCACGGTAGCCTGCCTGGCATCTTTCCGAATCAAGATTCGTCACGATGTGCTGTTGTCATCACGGACACTGCGTCAAATAGTGTGAGTCTGAGTAATCTGAGCACGGCTGTTGGAGTCAGTCTGATATTCTGGGTAGCAGAAATGCTGAGCCGGCCTAACAGGCCACGTCTTCTGCTCGTGACGTATTCCTCTGCATCGGCTGATCTTGTAACCCAGCAAGCTGATCGGGCCTTCAATGCTGGAAGCCGCCGCGCGCTAGACCTCGAAGTGCTCCAAACCATGTGCAACCGCACCCGCCCACCCACACCCGAGAGAGGCAGCTATGTTTCAGCCAAGGCTCAAGCTTGGGCCCATCCTCTGGTCTGGCAGCGACGATGCCTCGATCAGGCCCTCGCATAGCAGCTTAAAGAGCGTAATTTGGTTGATTATAGTTTGATTCGTTTGTCGCCACTTCAGGCCCCCCGTGAATCTGTGGCTGTTGTTGAGGTTTCTGCCGGGATATCGCCATTTTCGGGCATTGGGCTCGAGCTCAAACTTGGACCGAGACTTTTGGTTGTAAGGCCCAGCTCCAGCACGTTGGGAATCCGGGAAGCTTCCCGGAGATGTGTGTGTGTGTGTGTTTTTGTGTGTGTGTGTGTGCGCTGCGGGCTTTTTTGAGGTTTGTCGTTTGAATCTCTGTGCGATGTGAGCTTGAGCGCTTTGGTTCCGGAATTGAGGGCGCCAACATGCTCCCATGCCTGCAGGATCACGGACCCCGCAAGACATGCCGAGTTTGGTCTGTGGCCCCCCCCTCCCCCCCCCCCCTTGTATTGGTCAGATGCCTTCTTTTTGTCCAGAGACGATGTGTTGAAGGCTCTAGGGTTACTAAGGTTGACGCTGCTGCTGTCAATGCTCCTGCCCCTCCTCTGCTCCGGCGCCTCCTGCTCCTGCTCCTGCTTGCTGCTGCAGCTACTACTACTACTACTACTACTACTACTATTACTACTAGTGCTACTGCTACTACTACTACTACTACTACTACTACTACTACTACTACTACTAATAATACCACTACTACTACTACTACTACTACTACTGCTACTACTGCTACTACTAATACTACTACTACTACTACT